AAAAATTAATAGAGATAAAGGAAAAAGCAACTCACTGAAAACCCACTAGGTATGCTGAATGTATATAGTTATGGAAAATTGCTTCTCAAACAAAAAATGCTATGATAACACACTATTTCTATCATTTTAGAGTAAATATATTTTATCAGAGCAATCTGTGTTAGTCTGGTATATTAATGCATGTAATAATTGTGAATTTGGAGTGCAGCCACAATGGTTTCAGTCTCTAGAGTGATCAGTGTCTGTCGAAATAATATTTTTTTTGCACACAGACTCAAAGCACCAAAAACCATAAAACAAAGACGTGAATTAATACCTGCAGAATAAATGCTGAAAGAGCAAATTCAAAACTATAGCAACATGCAAATTTCTTTGCAATTTCACATTTCAAAAGAACGTATCAGAAATTCCAGCCACTTCAAACAAGTTTGGAGTCCACCACCTGATGAGATGACATCAAAGCCTCCCTTCTTATATTAACACAGTTCATGAAGAAAAGGAAAGAGACTTGGGGAAATATTTACATGACTAATATATATATACTTGGATCAAGCATTAATACATAATGTCTTCTGATCTTCAGCGACATGATCTTTCATGCAAAAATATCAAGTCATCTGCAAACATGTCATGCCTTTGGAAACATAAATATTAATGCAGAATTCAGTGCATTTCAGAATTAATTGTTTTGATTGGAATGTGAGGAATGAGTGAGCCAGAAATTAATTAAAGCCAATTATAGTAACTAATTGCCATAATGTTGTGGGAAAACACAGACCATAGCCCTTGCTTGAGGTTGGAGTACATACAGAAGCAACTTTCACTGACATTTTATAGCTCTAGCAGTCTAGAAGTAAGCAAGAGGAATAGAAATTACTCTTCTTGGTAGAGTTAATGAAAGGCTGACATTTGAATTTGAGCAATTTTAAGAAGTTTTGTTTGTACTCTTTTTTTTTTCCCCCTCAAATTAAGTATGCTTAAAAACTGCAAGATCTTTTTCATTATAACGCATTAGCATAATTATAATAAAGGAAAGTTACCTTTACAGAATACCAATGTTTGCTTTTCATTAACAGACATCTAGGCAGGTAATGCTGCGTTGCTTTGAGAATGAAAGGTTAGTCTGGCTTTTCAGAAAATGCACATCTGTGTATGTATTTCCAACCCAAATGGCCCTAATGGCAACAGACAAGTTCAGAACCCATTTGAACCAGTATAAAGAGGAAGAAAGACAGAGCAACTCCTGAGCCTGCCAGACAAGCAAACGTCACCTCTGCACTTCTAGTGCTATAATGGCATCTATAACATCAAGTAGCTTTCAAGTCCTAGAAAGCATTAACTATGTAAAGAGGCATTAGTATCATCTGCTCTGAAACCATGATTTTTGGAAGGTACCCAGTTCAGCGGCAGCTCGAGACCAGAGTAGCAGCCTGTTTGCCTTTCAAACAAGTACCGCTGCCAATTCCAGCTATATAAAGGGACAAAGTATCACTGCTTTGGGGTGCATTTATAACTGCTTGTGCTTGCTGGAGACTGAGAGCACTGGAGCTTTTGGAGAGAGCTCAACACAAGAGCAATAGGAGGATTCAAGCCTCCTACTCACAGGGAGGTCTGCTCATGTGGCCAGAGGAAGACAAGAGTCCCAAATTAGGCTTGTTAAATTCGCTCAGAAATTAACCCCCTAGTCTCTTCCTCTAGCAGCATTACTGGGAGAAAACAAGGAATATTTAGTTTTATTGTGTAATGATTTTGACTGAGAGTGAGGGAAGTAAACTTGCTCCCCTCACGTTGCTCATTCTGTCTGTTTTATTTCTTTCCATACGCTGTGTCTTGTCTTGTCCACTAGCATTCAAGGGCATGGACTGTTTACTGCTAGGTATGTCTCTCTAGTGATAGGATTTGCTAGTGATTTGACTTTTTGGGCCTTCTGCGCCACCACGAGCAACACAATCACTACAAATCTGGACTCTAACATTACCCCAATTCCAAGCTATCGCACTAATATTTTAGCAGGAGTAAGTGAAAGTTTATGAGAACAGCATGAACATCTGATGCCTCTCAAAGCTTCAGTGCCAAACAAATCATCACCTTCTGCAGACACAAAAACCTCTTCTGATGTTTCCATGCCACTGCCTCTGCCTAAAATGATCAAATAAAGATGGCAGAAATGAGCCTGCTCCAAAACTGTAAATTATGCAAAAAGCAAATTTAGTTTTACCTGAATTGCTTTGTCCATTGCAATTAAGGAAGTGCCAAGTATTGTCTTAAATGGTATTCACTGCCCTATGTTTTCATTATGCAATTCATCTCCCCCTTGGACAGCAAACTTTCTACTGTGCATGGTGGCTTTTTGTTTGGGAGGGAAGATGGAATAGTTCATTGGGAATAACATTTGTTGTTCTTTAGCAATGCTGTCTTTAGCAACACTTTCAAAAAATTCATTTCTGTCATTCAATCAACCCTAGTGAGGCTCAGTTTGAATTGACTTTAAAAAAAAAAATGTATCACACAATCTTTCCATTAAATCATTGGGACTATTCTTTCTGGGATTTGTTTTTTTCTTGAAATACAAAGGAAGAGATTATAGCTTAAGAATTGCAGAGCAAGCAAAAGAAAGAAGATGAAGGGGAAGACGACTTAGGAAAGCTCTTTTGGGAAACCTGCTATTTAAAAAGAACCAAACCACCAGCTTTAAAAACAGAAATGAAAATTAAAAAAAAAGCCATGACAGAGCAAAAGAAGGCAAAATAAATAAATAAAACAAGGCCACTGTTAACAAATAATAGGTCACCATTAGCTGCAGCTTCCAGGGGTCCAGAAGATACAGGGTGCTTGCAAATAGCACTCCAGAGCCAGTAGCAAAGGTAAAGCTTCACCCACAGTTATTACCTGCTTTTCCTGCACACGATATAATTTCCCAAACACATGTAACTTAGTATGACCTTTATGACATTTGTTAATATGTAAAATAAAAACATAAGGAAAGGTAACAGAAGTCGAGGAGAAGAGGACAAGTGCCATTTGTGTATGCAATATAAGCAACCCCCATGCTCACCAACACCAATTTATCATTCCCAGGAAGGATAAATCCCAACACCAGGCACCTCCTGATCTGCAGCGGATGGGATAACTTGTCAAGGACCCTGACATATATCCCTTTCAAAAGGGACACACATACCATTAACACCATGACAGTGAAACTCTCTGGCCTTTGGGTCAGGCCACAACAAAGATAACACAACAGCATCCATCAGAAGAGGAATTTGTGAAATGAGTGTGAAGTCACTATTAAGTCTCTGTCCTCAGGAAATATTTTTAAAAGGAAAAGATGAAACAAGGAGACTTATAAAGAACTACATTTATTTTTGTTTACAGCAGATATCATAAATAAAGCTAAAACAATTTTCACTGTGTGCAAAATACAGAAATTCCATGTGAAAATTTAAATACAGCATTAAAAACTATTTAATAAAAATATTCAGTTAAGATTATAAAGTAAAATGAAGATGGAAGATTTAGGAGGAGAAGGACAGAATCCTCACTGGCCAGGAAGAGCTAGGAAGACTCTGCAACAGAGGGTAAAAAACACGGCAATGGGAAGTGGTTTGAAATGGCAGACCTTTACGTCACGACCTTCATCTCAAAGCACGCTGAGCTTTGTAACAAAACACCATAGCCCTGAAATACATAGGAAGTCACGTCCTAACCATTTGTGCAGGAAGTGATGCTTAAAATACAGAGGTTTCTGTGTGGGCACAGCGTGGGGACTTCCAAAGCCGTCAAGACATTTTAGGATACCCACACAAATAAATACTATTGCTTCAGTCATGCAAACATACAGGTCAGCAAGATAAGGTGTGGGGCTCTGACCCTGCAGCCCTTCTGCATTCCTGGCTGAGGCGTGTGAAATGGGGCAAGTGGCAGAGGATGTTTGGCCCCTCCTGAAAATTGCTGCTTAGATGAATTCCCGAAGGCCCTTCCCTTTGAAAGGGATCCTCAGCAGGGAAGGCTGGGTTACGGCCATATCAACCAAAACCTTAGCACACTTGCTTGTCAGACTGAGCCCTTGGTTCTTGTTTGGATTCATTTCCCCCTCCAGATTATCAACATGTGATTACACATACTGGAACTTATATAAAGAAAAATACATACAAAATAATCACACGAATTTGTCATGGAGAGTAGTGGCAATGTCTCATGCAGCAAGACAAATCCATTCATCAGAGTGGCAAATGGGGCCTAGTTAATTAATTAACAAAACAATTCAAACCAAAACACTCTGGTTATATAAACTTGGCATTTTGATATCACAGACTAAAACCAGCATGCACATCTCTTGCTGTTAGGCCTGTCTACTATGTTACTTGGGGTGGAAGACTGGAATTTGCATTGCTTTGGCTACTTTTTCAGCAGAATCCTTTTATATTGTACTTTTCCAGTGTGAAAGCAAAGAAGTGCTTAGAAAATGCCACAGTGCTCAAACGTTGCTTGCTCATTGCATATTTGAGCTCAGTGGAAATTTGCTCATTGCATATCTGAGCCCAATGGAAAAAGGTGTTCATGCTAACCAGGAGAATCAGCTAGCTAATCTTGTCCTGACCTTATTTTAACTCTTTCCTTCAATACTTTGAAAGAAATAAGGCTTTAACTAGTTCTTTCAAGAAACAATGTACTTGCCTAACTTACCTTAAAGGCACAAGGAAGCGTACATGCACAGACACAGAGAGAAAAACATTCTCTACAGAGAGCACAGACGTTACCTTTTCTAGAACCGTGAACTCAGCAACAGGTTAAATGATCATGCCGAAGCTCGCATCCATTAATATACCAGACACACACGGTTTGCTCCAAAAGTCTTAAAAAAACGCACAATGAAATGCTGTCAAACAACAGTGTTAGTCACACAATTTTGGAACTGGCAAGCAGAAAAATCACCTGAGAGCAGAAAGGCTTCAGCCAGTGAGTGGGTGCAGCACCGGAATGATGAATTGGACTAAAAGCAACGAGGGAGATTGACAGAGAAGACAGCAGGAAAAAAAACACAGAACTTAACTTGGTTGTATAGGAAAGCATCAGAAAGATTATGTAGGCACAAAGAAGAATTCGCCAAAATGAAACTGCCTTTTTTCATTAAATCATGAATGAGGACAAATAGGTATGAATCTTACTAGTAGAATATTAAGATGAAGAGATTAAAAAAATCTACCAATTCGATTGATACCAATAAAAAACCTTCCCAACAGAATCACCTGCAAACTCCCAGTGGAATACGCAGTGTAATTAAGATTCATTAGGAAAATGTTTTTATTATGCAAGTTCCTGAATTCTGTTGTGGGAATGTAGGGATTTTATTCCCCATTATATAAATATATATAAAGCAAATACCATCTTTTTTTTTTTATTATTTTATTTTTAAACTTTCTGCTAGCAAGATTAATTTGCTTTAAATTCATTGGACATCAGAGATTTCCAAGTTTCTTACTATATCACCATTTTCTATAAGTTTATCGTTATGCTCACTCTGCTGAAAAGCAGAAAATTTCCTGTAGTAAACAGCAGGAGAAAATTTCAGGCAAAAATGTTCCTAAAGACTGTGCTGTTGACAAACTGAAATCAAAATTGATGGCAAGGCAAATTTTAAAACTTTACCACTTAGCAGGTTGCTGTGTTGCAGAAGTAACACGGTAAATCGCACTGCAGTTTTTTTTTCCTTTTTAGGGTGAAACAATTACTATCATTAGCAAATAATTAAAAAGTATACAGTGTTCCAAAGTAGTTTTTTTTTTTAAATGCTATAAAAGAGGTACAGATAATTTCTTTACATATATACAGATGCCCACCATGTTATTATAATTGTTGCTGTGTCCAGTCAATATCCTAGCAAAATTTTGCTGAATACATGTTTGAGCATTAATGGCAATTTATTTCAAACAAGTGCTACCTTATACCTAACCAATTTTCTTCAAGCACTTTTTCAAGTTCTGTGCATATACTTAACATTTTTTTCCCAAAATACATAAGCACTCTAAAATGTGAAAAGTTTTATCCTTGCAGTTTAAAGAAAGTCAAACTATCTAGAGGAAAAATCCAGTTTGTCATTTATTTTAAACGGAAGACATATTTCCTTTTAATACCTAAGAAACAAAACAATTCAAATCTTCTTTTTAGACATTATGTTAAAAAAAAAAAAAAAAAAAAATCAAAAAACCACCAGCCCATAAGCAGCACAGTCATTTAAGACCACTGGAAGGTGATCCTCAACTTTGGTACTAACTGGATGCGACATTATTTCCTACTATTTAAGCCACATTCTTTTGGCTAGAAATAAATGCTACAGATGCTTTTAATTTTAGGCTATACATATTACCATGTTTATGTATTTACCTATTTCCTGGTTAACTTCTGAATTTAAACATTTAAGTATTTGAGAGGCAGGGAGCATGCTTACCTCACTGGCTAACTAGGCTGAAAGTAAATCAGAATTTGGGATGCTGGTGTCTCCTTGCCATTAAATAGCTTATTTAACCTGTCCCGACACCTTCTGATTAAGGTAGACCTTGTTGAGAGACATCTGAAAGAAATTTACTTAATGGCTGCTCCAGATTACAGAATTTCACCTTCCTGCCATCAGCTTTATACGCTGAAATTAATGAAATACCCAACTAAGAAGTAATCTCCTTAGAATACATTTGTAGGTTTTTGTTGTTTGTTCTAAACTTGTATTTTTAAAAAATTCCGAAACACAATAGGAGCAGTGCCTACCCAACGGCACAACAGCAGTGATTTCAGTTACAGATGAGTGCTCCATAAATCGATATTCCTCGAATCAGCCACCTAATGAGGAAGCCTTGATTTGAAGAATAAGTCAGGTCTAATTACACTACCAGTTCCTTTGACTTACAGTTTCAATCAAGCCTTCACTCAACTAAGATTTGCTCTTCAAATTTATTTCAAAACTTCAAATAAATTAGTAGTACAGATTATACCCACTATCAACAAAGGGTATCTATCACATGTAAGAAATGTAAAAGGCGTGACTAGGAGCAATGTGAATTAAGTACATGTTTGTTTTTTTTTTTTTAAACATATTCATGCAAGTTATAAACCTCATAACCCAGAGCAAAGATTAAAGCAAGGAAAAAAAAAAGGCATGCGCCATATTCAGGTTTCAAAACCCAGTCATTTGTCATAAATATTCCCCAAACATCTGAAAGAATGCACATTCTTTCTTGGTCTAACAAAAAAAAAAAAGGGGGGGGGACGGACAGGGAGAAGAACGGTTTTAAAATGTACCACCGCCCAATGGTCTGATCACAGGATAAAATGGGCAGCAGGGGCGAGGGGGGAAAATCTATAAAATATCCTTCATCCATCTCTGTGTTCTGGAAATGTGTCTGGACACTGCCCTTCATGCTGTAACATACAGTACATTTTATATTGAAAATTTTGATTGCACCTTGTTTATATCAGAAGGAATCCACCGTTCATTTAAGTCACACATTAAGTTGCATGAAAAGTAAAAAAACACAAACAAAAAAACCCTCAAGAAAATAGCGAGGAGTTAATTTTGAAAATCTGAAAGGCACAACTGAGCAAGACAAGGAGAAGAATTTAAACCCTATAGAATTTTTTCACCCATTCAAGCACATTTTCAAGTGATAGCTCTGCTTCCCGGTACATATGAGTAAGTACCTCTAGAAGAGCACAGAGGAATGGCACACCAAGGCTCAAGAGTTCGTACAAGTAGGTATAGTTATATGCATTGTCCCTGAAATGAACATTGGTAGCATGCAGAAAACCATGCATCCAGTTAGACAGACGTCTGGGAATGTCAAGCAGATCCCTTGTCACCCGAAGGGGCCAGCTTAGCGTGCCCCTAAAGAAGGAAGTCAGGATACCTGGGGACCTGTCCTCTGGCCTGCTAGCAGTAGACAAAGTGCTTTCTGTGGTCGTCTCTGTGGGTTTGGGTTCCTCTTTCTTCCATGCTTCTGTTGCCTCCTTATATAAAGCATTAAAAAAATGTTAAATATACTTCTAAAAATGGAAAGTCCAGTTTCTGTTACTGTTTTCAAGTTTTTTTATATATTGTCATTTCCAACTGCTCTTAAGTTCAACTTTACTTTGTATAGGAAAATCTAATTTCCATTGAGAACTAGACTATAAATATAACAAATTCAGAGAACCAGGAGGTTGTATTTTAGTATTGATTTTACTACTTCTGGACATCAGGTAGAAAACATCTTACACACAAACACACACATGTTGCATCCAGCTCCAGATAAAGCTGCCTCAACATTTCCTGCATTAGTAATATAACCAATACGTACCTTTCCCTGGATCTGTAACGTTGCTCTTCTCTTTCTGTGTTTAGTACTGATTTTGCAGTGCGTAAAATGAGGTTTACAGTAAAATTTACCTACAAGAGAAAAAATAAATTATATGATATTGTATCTATACATCTGTGGACAGAAACCCCACTTTTGCATCTATAAAAAGGTGAAATCAGGATAATTAATGGTTGGGCAGCAAAAGGAATGGGAAACTTGCCACCGACTGAATAGCTCACAGCTCTGAATGGATTTCTTTTACAGTGCAGAGATTGCACATCTGTTAAATAAGGCAAGGTCATTTATCTACCACACAGGTTTAAGATTAATAAATAGCAGAAAAACAAGATTCTGTAAATATCAAGTCACAAACCAACACAAGACATCAAGCAGCAAAAAGTCAAATAATCAGTTCAAAAAAGTCTTTGCAGAAGATTCTCTGGACTGCAAAAGAAACACCTTTGGCTTTGAGTCTTTAATCCTTTCGTAGAAGGAGATCAGGTTAATACTCTGATCTACTCAGATCATTTTGAAGTGGCAAGGGAATTTCAATTCAGTTTAATAATTTCCCTCTAAACAAAAAAACAACAACAACAAAAAAAATTCCCCATCTCCAAACCCCAGGCTGTAGGTGGGATTGAGTGCCCAACATCTGAACCTCCTGTTCTACAGCAGACTGGAATAAATTACACTGCTGCTTGGCTAGCACTACCGCTTTCAAATCCTGAGCCATAACATCTTGAAAGAAATAACCTATAGTCCCCCCATCTGTGTAAATCTGCCACTATCATGGCTTATCCTTATAGAACACATTATTTAATGGCCAGTTATGTATGAGAGATTAGAATAATTCTGCATTGTTGGAGAAAAATCACCTTTTTTCCCCCCTGCTTTGACCTGTGATTGGACAAACTGCATTTTGGTAACTTAACTTATTTTCCACTGAGGATTTCTTCAGGTCTATCATAACTGGATTCCTTTGAAAGACTAGAACTGCAAGTACAAGGACTCAAAGATCAGCATGGACGCAAACAACATACTTGGCAGACCTCCTCCTGACCTAGCTACTCGGCCAGGTCTTTTTCCCTAGTTCCATTAAAAGCATCAATACTCAGACATTTTAAAATATTCTTAAATAGCTCCTATATTACCTTCTTCAACATCAAAGGCATAAATTCCTAAACGGAGTGTTGTAGAACATATTTCACACTTGAAGCACTCCCTATGAAAGAAGTGGCCTTCTGCACTCAGCCGCTCCATAACATATACCCGTTTTTTGCAGAAATAACAAATGTCACTCCCCCCGATAGACTGAGGAAATTCTTTTCGCAGAGATCCCTGTTAAAAGATAAAAATAGAAATGCACATAAAGCCATTGCACTACACCCAGATATAAATTCTTATTAAGTGGGCAGCTGCTTTAGCTGCTTGAACTTTAACACAGCACCCTCCACACACAATTAAAATAAGCATCAGTCAGCTTTTTTATTACTCATTTGCTGCAGTTCTGTAGGTTTATGTAGCAATTCATAAATCAGACATCACAAGGACTTTCA